GGGGTGACAAGGAAAGGGATATCAAGAAAGAGGACAAGAAGGACTTAGTTTGTGATCATTGCAAGAAACCGAAGCATACCAATGACACATGTTGGAAACTCTATCCACATCTAGTTCCAACAAAGCTCAGAAACAAAAAGGGGAATGCCAATGTGGCAACTATTACCGATGGTGCTTCATCCTCTAGCACAAGAACCACACCCCTGGACACCTTGGCTACTGTTCAATCTGCCCTAACTCAATTGGAAAGTGAGGTTGGCACTTCAGCACCCTCATCTCAACCACCAGCTACATCTGCTCCTTCCACTTCTACATTTGCTCATTCAGGTACAAGGGTTTCAGTATATCATGCTTCAGCCCCAGGCAACAATAAACCTTGTTGGGTTATAGATTCAAGTGCATCTAACCATATGACTGGCTTGTCCTCATTGTTTAATACTTATTGTTTGTCCTCTGGCAGAGACAAAGTGTCCATCACTGATGGCTCCCTTGTTCCCATTTCTGGCAGGGGAGACATTAAATTGTCTAATGCCATCTCCTTGTCCTCAGTTTTGCATGTTCCTAAACTAAGTACTAACCTGGTTTCAGTTAGTAGTATCATTAAAAATCAAAACTGTTCAGTAACTTTCTTTCTTGGTCGGTGTGTTTTTCAAGATCTAAAGACAAGGGAGGTGATTGGGATTGGTCGTGAGACGAATGGAATATACCTGCTTGGAGGGCATTCACATGGGGAAGATAGAGAAGTGGGGAGGTCACTAGTTTCTTAGTCTGTAAGCCAGGTTATGCTTTGGCATAATCGGCTGGGTTATTTGTCTTTTAGATCTTTGAAGAGTTTATTTCCTAGTTTGTTTAAGTCAGTTCAAATGTCTAGTTTAAAATGTGAAAGCTGTGAACTTGCAAAGAACTATAGAACAACCTATTCTTTGAGCAATAAAAGTAGTATTCCTTATGAAATTGTGCATACCGATGTTTGGGGACCATATTACATCACTGCTATGGGGGGATACAGATATCTTTTGCTGTTTGTTGATGACTACACTCGTTTCTCATGGGTTTATCTTATGCGCTCTTGAGATGAGGTCCCTACCCTAACTCATATTTTTCATCAGATGGTTCTGACCCAGTTTGGGGTCAAAATCAAAGCTTTCAAATCTGATAATGCTAAAGAGTACTTTGCAAAACCATTGGCTTCATATCTCCTTGATTATGGGGTTGTCCATCAGGGTACTTGTCCCTATACACCTCAGCAAAATGGGTTGTTGAGAGAAAAAATAGGCATGTATTGGAGGTGGCCAGAAGCATTATGCTGACTTCCAATGTTCCCATACGTTTCTAGGGAGAGGCTATTCACACTGTTGTGTACCTCATTAACCGAGTTCCTTCACGGGTCCTTGACATGAGAACTCCATTTAGCCTATATACCCTAATAAAGACTTGTTTACCATTCCTCTTAAGACCTTTGGATGCACCTGCTTTGTTCATATTCTTGGACCTCATTGCTCTAAATATGATCCTAAAGCTTTGAAATGTATCTTTCTTGGGTACGCACAAAATCAAAAAGGATATTGTTGTTATGAGCTTGTTTCTGGGAAACGGTTTGTTTCTATGGATGTCACATTCTTTAAGGATGTAACCTGTTATCATAGAGTTTCTTCTTAGGGGGAGAGTAGTGAAATGGGACCTCATTCATCAGAAATTCCATTACTTGTCCCAACCACTGAAGGGGAGTGTAGTGAGGAGGTTGTCAAAGATGTTGGGATTTGAGGGTGTATCACAGGCGGTGGAGGTAGGTTGATTTTGGTCATCAACAGTCCAGCCAACTCCAATTCCCTCTGCGGCTCCAGATTTAGGTACCACAGTCCCTTTATCCCTTGCTATAGATGAGATACCTTCCATGCCTCCCATTGTTGAGCCTTCCCTCCTCCTTTGGATGATCTTGATCTTCCAATTGCAGTTCATAAGGTGAAGTGCCATTGTACCTCATCTACAACGCATTGTATTTCTCAGTTTCTTTCTTATGATCACTTGTCTCCATCCTATAAGTCCTTTTTGGCATCTATTGCTGCTATTACCATTCCCAAAACAGTGTAGGAAGCCTTGTCAGCACCTGAGTGGAAGGATGCAATGAAGGTGGAGATGGATGCTCTTCTAAAAAACAGTACATGGGAGTTAGTTGATCAGCCTAAAGGGAAGAAACCAGTTGGGTGTTTATAGTGAAACATAATGCTGATATCTTTGTTGAAAGATATAAGGCCAGATTAGTTGCAAAGGGGTTTACACAGACATATGGCATAGACTATTTGGAGACTTTTGCTCTGGTAGCCAAGATGATTACTATCAGAGTTTACTATCCATTGCAGCAAATTTCTCATGGACATTATTTCAGATGGATGTCAAAAATTCCTTCCTCAATGGTGATTTGCAGGAGGAGGTGTATATGGAGTTGCTCCTGGATTCTATAATGCAGAAGTGGGGAAGAAGGTTTGCCGATTGAATAAAGCCTTATATGGACTGAAACAATTTCCCAGAGCATGGTTTGATAGATTCAGACAGGCCCTTGAAGAATTTGGATATGTATAAGCCCAGTCAGATCACACTCTTTTCATTAAGAAGATGGATTCCTCCTTGACTCTACTTGTTGTATATGTCGATGACATTGTTGTGACAGGTAGTGATACCCGTGAGATTGGCTCTCTTAAGAAATTGCTTCACCAAGAGTTTGAGGTCAAAGACCTGGGAGAGCTACGGTATTTCTTGGGAATTGAGGTAGCACAGTCCAAACATGGGATTTTTGTCTCCCAAAGGAAGTATGTTCTCAATCTTCTGAAAGAAATTGGAAAACTAGGAGTTAAACCTATTGACACACCTATTGAACAGAATCATAGGATAAGTGCAGAAGGTGGAGAGCCCCTTGAAGACAAGGTTATGTTTCAACGGTTAGTTGGGAAGCTTCTTTATTTTTGCCTCACACGACCGGACATTTCTTATGCCGTCAGTGTTGTTAGCCAGTACATGCATTCACCCAGAACCACTCACCTTCTTGCAGTTGAGAGGATCTTTGCTTATTTGAAGAGATGTCCATGTAGAGGCATACTCTTCAAGGATAATGGTCACATGAAAATAGAAATCTACACATATACTGATTGGACCGGGTGCGTTGATGACAGGAGATCCACCTCTAGGTATTGTGCCTTTATAGGAGGAAATCTTRTCTCTTGGAGAAGTAAAAAACAAAATGTTGTTGCTCGTTCCGGTGCTGAAGTTGAATACAAATCTATGGCTAATGGTGTGGCTGAAATCTTATGGTTGAGATCTCTATTTGAAGAAGTAGGTATTGCTTATGAGAAGCCCTTGATGCTGTACTGTGATAATCAAGCTGCTATTAATATTTCCCATAACCCGGTTCAACATGACAGAACTAAACATATTGAAGTGGATTGACACTTTATCGGAGAGAAAGTTGCTTCTCAAGAAGTGTCTTCCATATATTGCCTCTGACATGCTGCTTGCTGATCTCTTCACTAAGGCAGTTCCAAAGATCAAGCTGGAGACAGACTTACACAAGTTGGGAATGATTGATATCTACTCCCAACTTGAGGGGGAGTGTAGAGTTGTAGGGCAGTAATGTCTTTATTTATATTGTTGTCAGTGTCAGTTAGTTAAGTTAGTTATTTCTGTTATTATTTTACATTGCTGACATGTTATGTTAGTAGGGGCAATATTGTAAGTGTACTTTTTTAAGTTATTATATATATAACTGAGTGGGGCAATATTACTGACATGTTATGTTGCCGCCTATTCACTCTCTTCGACTTCTCTCCTCTCTCTCTCTCTCTCTCCCTATTCCATTCTCTGTTTTGAATTCTCATCTAGAGTAGAGCTGATCTCAGTCTCTACTAGACAAGTTTCTCCACGAGAGAACCACACATCAAAGTTGAGATGGGAGACATTTGTATTCCTTACATTACTTCTTCAAATCAATTGGTCAATGTTCTCACAAAAGGTGTAGGTGCCACAAGACATACTGATACTTGTAACAAGTTGGGAATGATTGACATCCATGACCCAACTTGAGGGGGAGTGTTGGTTATGTGAACATTTTCTTGTAGTTTATATGTTTTTATATGTTTTAGGGGCATTTCTATCTCTTCTCCCCTTTTATGTTCTCCCTCTTTTATATCAACGAAAGGGGCTGCCACCCACTATTCCATTGGAGCCTTTTTTCACATCTCTCTCTCTCTCTTCTTTTCTTATTCTTCCTTTTCTGTTGAGCTTTCCACTCGGAAAACAATTGTATTAATCAAAAAGGAAACTTCCTAATCAAATTCAGACTTAAAAACTTGAAATTAGCGTATTCTCAGTTTTCCACAATCAGCTTTGCATCCTTTTAGTAAAATGATCACTTTGTATAGAAAACTCCACATTTGGATTCACTTGATGCGTTGGAAAGTAGATTTGAGATCTTTCCAAAGACATATCACTTACCTTGCGTATCCCACATTATCAAGTATTAATCAGTTGTGAAGCCAGCCTAAGGTGTGAATCTGTTTATGGCTGTTTGAATTGTTAGCATCTGTTTGGGCCTCTTTCCTTCGTTTCTTTGAGCTCATGGGCTTCTTCTCTTCTCTTTTCTGCTGGTTTTGGCCCCTTCCTTTTCTTTCGATCATGGGCTTCTAAAAACCTTTTAGTAACTTGTCCTAAATTAGGACTACCCATGGGATAGAGATACTTTTGACTTTGTATTTTTTTTAATGTTGTAGTAGACCTTTGACTTTCCTATGCCATGTTCTGTCTTGTCTTTAGGAGGAGTTAAACTATATTTTTATTATTTGCAAAGATTTTGTCCGGTTGTTGAACATAAAAAGAATGTAGTTCTATTGGTGATTCTTTTTTATAATGGAAATAAAATCATTTGTATCATTCTGATCCTGCAATTCATTGACAATCTATTGTTTATTTCTCTACTGTATACTGATGGAAGTTGTGAACCTCATTTATAGATTGCAAATTCTCTTGAGCAAAGGTGTTACAAAGAATTGAGGAATGAGCAATTTCGACTAGCAAAAGTGGTCATGTGTATTTACAGGAAATTGTTAATTTCTTGCAAGGATCAAATGTGAGTTCTTTATTATCAAGGTGATTCTTTATATTTTGATATTCTCTAGAATGGGTTTAATTAAAGAAATGAGTGGTTATATTTTTTAAACGCATGATAACATTATTAGCTTTACTTTTGTTCTTTTCTATGGTAGGTGTTTTGGTTCTTTCTTCCTTCCTTATACTAGGTTTTACCTATTAAGTTATAAGGGCTGCAATGGATTTATAATTATTGGTTTATTTCTAAAGATATTTTCAACACATTCTATGTTTTTTTTTGTTGTGATATTATTGAAGCTCTCCATACTTATGAACAACTACTATCTGTAGGGTTGTTAATTGATTGGATTTGACCCAATCAAATAACAATCTGGTCAATAAACATATGGATTGAATTCGATCTGAATCCAATAATGAAAATCTTATCCAATTTAATGGGAATAAATGAATATCCATTAATATGAATCTAATGTGATTTGATTTTAAAATATTCTTAGAAATTGATATATTTTCCTTGCACACAGTTTTACTTTTTTACTTTGGTGGGACCTACCAAAATATTGCACTAAGGAAATTTTTATGTAGAGATTTTTTAAGGAGAAATTTATGCATTTAATGAAAAAGGTTTTCTCTTCCACGTTTGGAGAGACCTACACCTTTTTAGGGAAAAGTTTGTACAATTATTGAAATTTGAAAGACATGTTAACATGTTACCAAATATTGATCCTTGCAATATATGTTACCAAAATATTGCAGCTTTTTTGAGTGGTAAGCTAATGGAGGAGCAAGAAAAAAGATAGTGTTGCAGCAAGGAGTAATGCAAAGGCAGAATAGAAGGCAATTACCCATACTACATGTGGACTACTTTGGTTAAACCATTTATTTAGGAGATTGGGATACGTGTTAGAACACCTATTGGCTTATTTTGTGATAACCGGTCAACTTGCACATTGCCAACAATCCAGTTTTCCATGAAATACCAAGAATATTGAAGTAGAATGTCACTTTGTTAGGAAGAAGATTGCAAGTGGAGATATTTCTACACCATATGTGCTCAGAAAATCAGTTGGCAGATTTGTTTACAGAAGTTAAAGTCAGGTTCGGATGTGTTGTAAGATGTACTGATATATGTACTATTATGTCTTGTTATTGTGTAGGGCAATTATCTTTTCGTCTTTTATTACATCACCCTAATAAAATAACAGTAGGGTCTCTGCCAGGCCCAGTATGGTTTTCTCTCCTATTCTATTCTCTTCTTCATACAACTCTTTCTTCTTTCATCTATTTTCGCCTCAATAAACTATTTTTGTTTCAACTTTGCAACCGGAGGTCCTTGTCTTCCTTGAAGAAGAACTGTTGTTACATCCTACCGGTAATGTAACATTAGATCTCTCTTTTCTCTATTTGTTCTTGGTCGTAGCACTAAGAAACATTGTTTTGAGTGATCACAATTCAAGGATGGTAGTGTAGAAGTGCTATTCTGATCACAGTTCAGTTTGAGGTGTGTACCTGCAGTGCATGTTCATAGGCTGTGTGAGAATTAACATTCCAGAAGGTAGCCAAATATACTAAGGTGCCGCTTTCTGATGAGTAAAGATCTTGACAATTAAAGCCTCGCTTCTCATAACCTGTTAAGGAATTAGGAGTGCTTGCAGAATACTGTGCAACTCATTATAGAAGGGTGCAAGAACTTTGTGACCTGCTGTAATCTTGTAGAACTGAATAAGGTAGCATGTGATCTATAGAACCTGGGAAGTGTTGGTTTCTTGGAAAGTTTCTGAACTTTTGTCAGAATTTTTTCACTGCTGTTGGCCTCGGCATTTGAAGACTCGATGCACCAGGTGTGTCCTCTTCCTCCTCTCCTTTGTTCATTACCAGTATGGACAACATAAGTTTTCCTATCTCAATTACTCCTCTTGATGGTCTTAATTACTTAGAATGATCAAAAGGAGTTAAGCTATTCATTGGAGGGAGATGCAAATTTGAGTTACATAGATAGTGTTATTGTAGAACCTAAAAAGGTCTATAACATGCTATTTAGCCATCATTAAGGAAGAACTTCATGCGAGTAGACACTGCAAGGGAGATATGGAAAAAAGCCAAGGCCACTTATTTTGAACAGAAACACCATGCTAGAGTATACCAATTACAAGTAGAACCATCCACTTGTTAAAAAAAGGAGAGAAGAGTCTATCTGCTTATTTTTTATCCCTCACTTCTATGTGGAGGGTGGGCTTTTTCTCAATGATTTGGTTGCTCCATTGTGACCCGGGTGACCTAGGTCACAATGGTGGGAACCTCATGCACTGCGCTTACCTTTTTTGTAGATTGAAAATGTGAGGAAGATGCCAAATCCTACAAGACATTACTGTGTCAGCAAAGAGTCTATGCTTTCCTTGCCGGACCCAAATCCTTGTATGAACCAATAAGGCTCCAAATCCTAAGCTGCAAGGAATTACCTGACATATAGGATGTGTATGCTCTTATATAGTAGGTGCAAAGACAAGTTATGGTGTATTCATTGTTAGAAGTCTATACGCATTAGGAAACATGTCAGGACTTGGTTGGCTAGCTAACGAAGTTTTTCAAGAAGTTAAAAGGGAAGAAGTTCAACTCTATCAATGTTGCTTCTTAGGAGCCCTAGTCTACTGTCACTACTACAGTTACTTCCTAGGATCATTTGATAGGTTCTATACCTAGGGAGGATCTACTTAGTACCATAAAAGATAACCAGGCCGTTGCATTGGATTTGTCCTTTGTTCCTCCTGAGTTTCCTTGGAGTATTGATTCTAGGGTCTCAAACTATATGACTAGTAAGCCTAATTTATTTTCTGCCTATAGTTTTTTATCTAGATAGAGACAAAGTGAGACTAGCTGATGATTTGTTTTTCATCTTTGGTGGTCAAGGATCAGTCTCTCTCCCTATTGGTCCAAATTTGTCTCGTATATTTTTTTTTACCAATAACAGAAATTGTAATGGTACATATAAATCCCCACCATCCCTCATCCTCTTCCTTTTGCAGCCATCTAATCACCAACTCTGAGTCACCCTCAATAGAGAGCTTGTGAATATTCAAGTCCCTTGCTTTCTGTATTCCTTCCATGACAACAAGTATTTCAGCTCTTAGAGCATCACCTACCCCTATTGGACTGGAGAATAGAGCAATAATTTTTCCTTCCTCAGTTCTGAACACACCTCCAATACCAGATAGTCCTGGGTTGCCTTCACTGCTACCATCAAAATTCAACTTAATGAACCCTCTTAAAGGTGGGGACCACTGAATTCTATAAGTCACCTTAAGAGGAGCAGAATTAGCAATTTCCTTCCACTTCCTCATCAGCTCACCTGCTGGAATGTCCTTAAAAAGCTTCAAGGTCTTCACCTAATGGACCACTCTGATGGATATGGCTTCTATCATTGCCTCCCTACTCCTTTCTTTTTCCATGAATATTATTTGATTAATTTGTCTCCTATATTCATTTTCCCAAATTACCTATTAATCTTCTATCTATTAGTAGCATTACCAATCCTTTGAATTGTTGTGTAACTTTTTATCCTAATTCCTGTGTCTTTCAGGATTTGACCTTCAGGAGGATAATTGGTCGATTGCATGATGGATGGCCTATACACATAGGAAAGTGGAGTATTGTCTGATAGCATCCAAGTCTAGTGATTTTTTGAGTTTATCATCAAGTCTTTGTAATAAAGATAAATTCATCTTGTGGCAATGTCATCTTAGTCGTTTATCCTTTGAGTCCTTGAAAGTATTGTTTTTAGAGTTATTCAAGTCAATTCACGTGTCCTCTCTGCAGTGTTAAAAATGTCAATTTAGTAAGAATTGTAGAACCAGTTTTTCTCCAAATAATAAAAGATTTATGTCTCCTTTTCATATTATTCATTAGGATGTGTGAGGTCCTGCTTCTAATATTGCTAGGGGTGATTATTGATACTTTATTAACTTTATTGATGGCTACTCGTGCTATATATGGATATATCCTATTTGGTTCAGAGAGGAAGTATCTTTAAAAAAAGCGATTCAAGATTTGATTTTTATACAATTTCATGTTGAAATGCAAATATTCTAGTCTGATAATACAAAAGAATACCTTATGGGACATTTAAAGAAATTTCTTGTCTCTTGTGGTTTTATCCATCACAATTCATGCACGATACCAAAAAAAATGATGTTGTAGAAAGAAAGAATCGGCGTTTGCTTAAAGTTGCTTGTAATCTGATGCTTTATGTGCATGTTCCTAAGAGGTTTTGAGCTGATACTATGTTGACTACTGCTTATTTGATTAATCAAATGGCCTCTTGTATCTTGCAATATTAAGCCTCACGTCAACTGTTATTTTGCTAGTCTCCGTTGTGGAAAATTAGACCCTAAGGCTCCATTTGGCCATTCACTTTCAGGGAAGTTTCTTTCTTGGGTAAATGCACTTACTTTGGTAAGTGTGTCCTGGGAAATACTTACCCAAGTAAGTGCATTTACCAATGTTCTTTTATTTCCCAGGTAAATAAGAAAATGACTGTTTTATATCAATAAAAATCCATTATTAAAAGGGGCAATTTTGTCCCATCCAGGTTTGGCAACTTTCTCTCCAGGTGGGAATTTCCCACCTGGGAGATGGGTATCACTTATCCGGGTGAGTGATACCTAGGGAAAATAAATTTTCCATGGACCCCACATAAATCTGAAAAACGAACATGGGTATCTTGGTCAAGGGGAACCAAAATCCCATTTACCAACTTTCCCCCTTCTTAAAATAAAAAAAAAGAATGGGCCCTAAGTTTATTTCTTGTGTTTTTTTGGATACCTCTCTATCCAAAAAAGGTATAGGTGTTTTGACCCTATGTCCTATAATGTTTTGTTTCCATGGTTGTATTCTTTTTTGAGAGCCATTCCTTTTATGCCTCTCCTCAAGGGGAGAATGCTATATTAGAGGAGAGGCAAGTCCATCTTCCTATTGCCTATTCCAGTTTTTGTGCCTCTACAAGTCTACTCACATCATCAGAAGGATCATCATAGTTTATAAAATATGAATAGACTGGAGGCTGTGCAAACAACACCAATTGATACTTAGGAAACAAATCCACAAGTTAAATGTACCACTGTTCGTGTTGACGTTCCTTCTGATGTTAAGTCAACTAGAAAAAAGGGAACAGTAAACCAAGAAGGAAATAGGAAGAAGAAAGAGAGAAAGCACCAAGATTAACGTGATTCAGCTCAATAGCTTGCATCCATAGGGAAAATATCCACTATGAGAGTAGGAGACATTCATAAGCTCAAAAGTGTAGAGAAGAGGATGTTTCTTCCAAGAACAATTATGTGTTGTTGAAATGCTTGTTGTGTCTGGATTTCTTTTTCAGAATTGGAATTATCAAGTAGTGTCCCTTAACTGTTCTTCTATGATTTCGTCCCACCATAAATTTCTTATTGTTTTCTTATACATGTATATCACTTCTGCTGTCTATTAAAGGGAAAACCAAAAGAGAGAGAGAGAGAGAGAGAATGACAAAATTTTTACTCTATTAGATTTACAAAACTGAGTTATGATCAATAACAAACTATTGCAGGCCACTTTTTGCAAGTAGCTTACTGAGCATCATAAATACTCTGCTGGATCAAACACGGCAGTATGAAATGCGTGTTATAGGATGCCAAACACTTTTTGACTTTGTTAATAGTCAGGTAGATGTGATTAACTATTTCTCTCTTATTCAGTTGGCCTTTCTTGTTCCATACTTGGTGTATTAAACGCACGAAAGTCCTGCATTGGGGATTACTTCTTGTCAAGCTTGCAGGTTTCTTCCTATAGGAGACTTTACACTTATTTCATGTTACTGAATTGTGACAGATGGATGGTACATACATGTTCAACTTAGAAGGCTTGATTCCAAAAATCTGTCAGACAGCCCAAGAAATAGGGGATGATGAGGGAACATGCCAACTGCGTGCAGCTGGGCTGCAAGCCCTATCTTCAATGGTATGCATTGTTATTGTAATTGTAGATTTCCCATACTTGTTCATGAGTTATGTCTATCATATTATTTCATCTTTGTTGGATTATGTAATTCCCTCTCTTTTCCTTTGCTTATTTTAATTGTAAAGCCTCTCTTTTTCATCTTTGTGTGTGTGTGCATGCATGTATGTATGTACTTATGCAAAAAGATAAAAATGAAAAGCAGTTATTTATTTGCTGAAATCACCCTACTAATTTAGTATAATCATGATAGTCTGATTGCACAATTGAAGTGCTACAAGAAGCAACAAAATTAGAGAAATCAGGGTGTAGCCATGTAGGGTAAATGGTGACAGCTCTTAACAGTATGGTGTTAGGTCATTGGTGTGGAAAATGGATAAAATAGGATAGCTTTCTTTAACAGTGGACGAACAGCAGTAAACAAGAAGAAGAAGGGAAGGGAGAGAGAAGGGAGAAGGTAGAAGAGAAGAAAGAAGATTGGCGAACTCAAACTTCTGTCTGGCGGTGTCAAATTACATTAATATTTATAGGGCGACCATAATTAAAAGGAAAACGATCCTTGTGCCCCTGCTGAGATTAAAGTACAAGAACAGTAATAAAACAACTACTTTAAATAGACCAAACAGACCCTAACTAAGCAGAATAAGAGTATAAATATAAAATAAATTATTTCAACACTCCCCCTCAAGTTGGGACATAGATGTCAATCATGCCCAACTTGTCACACAAATTATTGTGCTGCACATGATGAAGGCCCTTAGTGAAGATGTCCGCAAGTTGTTCTTTTGAGCTGACATATGGAGTGCACACTTCTCCACTCACAAGTTTTTCTCTAATAAAATGCTTGTCCACTTCGATGTGTTTTGTTCTACCATGGAGGATTGGATTAGCAGCAATGTTGATAGCAGCTTTATTGTCACAATAGAGTGACATGGGGTTGTTAACTGCAAAATCCAGTTCACTTAACTGGTTTTTTATCCACATGATTTCAGCAACTCCATGAGACATAGCTCTGTATTCCGCTTCAACACTGGACCTAGTCACCACACTTTGCTTCTTACTTCTCCAAGTGACTAAGTTTTCTCTCACAAAGGTACAATACCCATTGGTAGACTTTCTGTCATTGATTGCCCCTACCTAATTAGCATGTGTATACACTTCAACCTTCAAATGCCCATATTTCTGGAATAGCAAATTGGCTCCTAGGAACGTCTTGAGGTATCTAAGGATCCTTTTTGTAGTTTGAAAGTGAGTTATCTTAGGATTATGCATGAACTGGCTAAGGACACCCACTGCATAGGCAATACCAGGCCTAGTCATAGACAAATATAAGAGTCTCCCTACAAGTGTTTGGAACTTCTTCACATCTTTCAAAGACTCCCCTTGACTGTCTTCCAGTTGATGGTTAGGTTCAATGGGTGAATCAATTGGCTTCACCCCTAACTTTCTTGTATCTTCTAATAGATCCGGTACATATTTCCTTTGGGAAATAAAGATACCCTTTTGAGAGTGGGTGACTTCAATTCCTAGGAAATAACGTAAGGTTCCTAGATCTTTCACCTCGAATTGGATGGATAAGAATTTCTTCAAGTTCTGTATTTCAGTCTTCCAATCTCCTGTGACCACTATGTCATCAACATACATAATTAAAGCTGCAATTTTTCCTTAACCTTTCTTCACAAATAGAGTATGACCTGATTGGCATTGTTTGAACTCCACCTGGTGAACGGCTAAGTGAAACTTACTAAACCAGGCCCGAGGTGATTGTTTCAACCCATATAATGTTTTTTTTAACCTGCGCACCTTTTGCTCACTACCTTTGGCACAAAAACCTGGAGGTTGAGTCATGTACACCTCCTCCTCTAAGTCACCACTCAAGAATGCATTCTTAATGTCAAGTGGTGAAGTTCCCAGACGAGATTAGCTGCTGTGAATAAACCCTAGTTGTTTCTAGGTCAAAGTAGAGAAGAAGAAAGAAGAAAGAAAAGAGAAAGAAGAAGAAGAGGAGAAAAGTATTCGGCCAGACTAGAAGAGAGGATGTACAAAAGTACCTCTCCTAGCCGACCCACTTGACTTTTATTCAT